TAAATTTGTTAAAATAAAAGCCACACGGTAATTGATTTTAAATTGCGGCTTAAAAAGTTAAAAAAATATGTATTTAGCTACTCCAATCACTAGCATTTGTATTACTAACCCCAAAAATTCTTTATCCAGATTACTTTATCATAGTACACATCTACACTCGCTAAACCAGCTAAGCATGCAAGACTACCTCTAACGGAACACCTGTGTTATTCCTGAAAGGATTTAGTTTGTTTGATTGACAACTCAAGAACGAGATTGGTGTACAGTTAACTTATTGTTTGTCCGATTTGGTTCTAGATGTTCTAGTCAATCTAGTTACATAATATATAGAGTGGCTTAAGAACTACGAATATTTCAACATAGTTATAAATATATAACTGGAGGTCTCTGCAATGTTTCCACTCCCAGCTGATCCATCAATTTAGTGGAAACAGACTAAAAGCATTTTCCAATTTATATATAGGAAAGTATGCGTTTTCTCCATACCACCCAGTGCCACCCACTCATAGTTACTTGTAGTAGATTGCTACTGGGGTGAACGTATAGTAAGACAATTTCCACTTCGATATTGACCTCTATAAGCTTTGCCCCACGGGTGTTCAAAGATCTGAGGCGAGGCTTTTCAAAGAAACATGAGAACACATAATAAAACATAAGAAAAACAACGACGAATTTCAATTAAAGAGTAAAAGAGTGCAACAAAAAAAGTTAAACATAAGAGCTAATGACGAATTATAAAATATGCTGAGGAACGGCCACGGTAAGCCGACAACGGTTAAACAAGTGGTTAGAGCTTCAAGCGTTTTATGCAGATAAAATACTATCAACATTCAAGTATTGCTTTCAGGAAAATGAATAAATAAAAATATTGCAATGTAAGTACACTTTGAATATTAAAATTGTAAAATTTTAGGTGCTGTATGAAATCGAAAGTCAAATTTATTGTGCTAATATGAACAGAGCAATACTAGACTCAAAAAATTTTTAAACGAAATACATGTTGATGAAGTTTTATAGCTACTGTATTATTGTGCATTCCATTTTTACCCGGGTAACGCCCGGGTAAAAATAGTATTTTTCGATGCTAGTTAAATATATGGATTAAATGTGTGTATGTTTGGCTTTTGTGCATTACCGAATCGTCTTTGAGCACGGTAAAACGTTAGAACATTGTTTTATATGCCTGGAAATGTGCTGCTATCCTTGTTAAATATCTCTGACAATTATGCATCTGGGCTTGAATAAGTTCTAATCTTGGAACGAAACGTATATTGATTGGTTTACATTTAAAACAGAAAGAATAATTAAAATGTATACATTTGTCAAATGATTTATTTTTTGCACTGCCCAAAGATTTATTGAAACTAATCGATAAGGACATTTTGTATAACTAAGTGGTACGTTTATTAATTTCCTCGGCATAAATCACTTAGATGATGCAACATTGATCACATTGGTAAAAATGTAAAATTGTGTACCCAATAGTGCAGTATGGCCTAACTGTTTTCGTAATTGCATATTTTTTTAAATGTGGAATCTCACCTAGCTGCGACGCATAGCTAAAGGAATTAGTACCGACTAGTTTCAGTTGATAATATTTTCACTACATTTCAATGTCATTTTAATCATGTAAATACCGTTTTACCTTGTCACTATATAATAATCAAAAGTCAATACTCAATACTGCCTGACAGACCAGAACACTATTACATCTTACTTTTGACATGTTAACAGAGCAGTTGGGCACAGTGTTGAACCATCAAAAAGCAACCGGCTTTATACAGGATCAAACCAGCAACCTTCATATTTTTTACGCGTATTTATCGCCTTTAATTACCCAGCTATTGGATATTAATAGATTTTCTAACACTATTAAAACTCCATCTTAATATAAACCTAAAATATAAACATTCGGCAGTCTATTTTATCATTCAGCTTTCCTAATGCAAATAGTTATACAAATAGCTTAGCTTGTTTCGGTAAAAGAATGATAACTTTATCTCGGTAAATCTAAATAGATATTAATGTAGTTTTGTTGTAATGCGCCAACAACAAGATCTGTTATGTTCAATCTATTTTCTAATCGACATTACAACATATGTGTATGCGAGACAACGGTCGGTATTGGAATAACATAGTTTAAATGTTTAAGCTTGCACACAAAAATGTAATTGAATTAATTTAGATTTTTGAAAGCTAAAAACTACTATTTCTATTTATGACTATATTTTATCTATGTCATCTGTTTTATAACGTTGTGTTTTCAAGGACGAAGTGTATATTTAAATTTATTTTTCCATGGTCCAATGGGGAGGGCTTTCCCTGTAGCCCCCCCCCCTTTGGAACCGCCACTGATAAAATATACTTATGCACATACAGTAAGCCTATATAAGTAATTCCTAACAGTATACATTTTATCTCATCAATTTTATTTTATTTTTCCGATTTTGAGAAATTTGATGGATTAACATCACTAATCACCAGAATCTAGCCACCTATTCAGTTATTCAGTTCGAGAAATAACAAAGAAAATTTACTAAATCACAACATTAAGTGACTGCAACAAAAGCAAATATTGCTAAAATAATATTCGCATATGGGACGTTTTTGGCGACATTTCATAGCATGTTACAGCTTTGAAGGATTAGTTGTTCAAGGGGGTCACCGTTTTTAAATACATTCCCCAGAACTGTCAAACACAACTGTCAAATGTCGAATTATGCAGCTGCACTGTCGTAATGGCAGCTTTTCTAAGGTTAACCGAGTTAATAAATATGTTATATCTATCTTCTATCAATATACCTACCTATCCATCTATCTATCTGTTTATCTATCTATCTATCTATCTATCTATCCATCTATCTATCTATCTATCTATCTATCTATCCATCTATCCATCTATCTATCTGTTTATCTATCTATCTATCTGACTGTCTGCCTGTCTGTCTGTCTGTCTGCCTGTCTATCTGTCCGTCCGTCCGTCCACCCATCCATCCATTCTTCCAACCATCCATCCATTCATCCATCCATCCATCTATCTACCTATCTATTTATCTATCTGTTTATCTATCTATCTATCTATCTATCTATCTATCTATCTATCTATCTATCTATATATCTATCTATCTATCCATCTATCTATCCATCTATCTATCTATCTATCCATCTATCTATCCATCTATCTATCCATCTATCCATCTATCCATCTATCTATGTATCTAGCTGTCTATCCATCCATCTATCCATCCATCTATCTATCTATCCATCTATCTATCTATCTATCTATCTATCTATCCATCCATCTAGCTATCTATCTATCCAATTATCTACATATCTATCTATCTATACTATTATAAATTCTATTAAATATTAAGAATACTAAAAAAAATTCTCTAAAGTATCTGCCCGCAGTAACAGACTATTTTGAAAACCTCCATCCTGGACTATATAGTCCTAATTGAGACTTAAGTCATAAAAAAACATTAAAGTCTGTATGGTTCCTCACCATTACCTATTTATATTTACATTTCGCAAAACATTCAATATAAAAGTAATAATTAGCAGTTTATTGATACTGTAAATAGTAAAAAATACTCCTTCAAATATTATTTTAAATACATGTTTTGTGTAATTTGATATTACTATTTTTGTTTCACAAACATACTTTTAATTTGTATTTGTTTTACCTTTGCATTATATTTCTTTAGCCTTATAATATATTTCTACACTGAAATGTTTGCTATCCTAGAGCATCGCCCATCCTAATCGTGTTGTTCTAATTTACAGCTTGGATAGAGTTTGTATAAACACTATGTTATCTTAACAATGCTGAGTCGAAGTGACATCTGAAGTCAGCATCTATTTAGTCTCATATCCTATTTCCAAAAGATAAAATCAATATTAAATACAACGAATGCCGATTTATTTTTATTGTACGAAACAGATCACCGATTTTGTTTTCTATTTAACAGACGCAGAACTACAACATAGCCGGGGCTACAAGCTACAAGAGCTACAACATAGTTAGTGATGAACTGGACTTGAACCCGGGACCTATACAACAGAAGTCCGGTGCACTTAATAAATTATGGCAACATTAGTTCCATTGTCATTACTTCCATTAAAAGTTATTGCAACAAATTTCTATTTCACTTACTTTCCTTGCAATAATTATATTTACTTTAATATCTTCTCTAATCTTTTCGCAATCCCCTCGTTGCGAAGCACTGGTAAAGCTACGAGACCAATCATAAATTTCAACAAAGTATTTGTGGGATATGAAGTTTATCAAGGTAGGATACGATCTGTATTTCGCTTGTTTATGATAAAATATAGACATTGTAAAATGTAGTGGTGGAGGGTGAATAGGATATGGTTCTAGAACAGTCCCAGTCCAGTGCGGTTTTGGCTTTTTGGACTGGAACATCGCAAAAACAACACGCGATAGAGAATAACGTCAAAATCAAAGCTAACTCAAGAGCAACCGGCCCTGAAACACGTTAAAATACTTTATATTTTAAAATAAACAGTAAAAATCTAAAAGAGTAAAGCACAAGAAAACATTTGAACAAAAATGAATATTGTACTGTATTCGTAGTTCGAAATATTTTTAGGATATTAAAAAAATTGAACATAGTATTTTCAATTTGGATTTTTTAGGACATAAGTATCAATGTTACTGAATCACAACAAAATAATACTACGCATACCACAGCAATCTTCAGAAAGTAAACATTTCATCAATCACATACAAAATCAACCCAACCTGAAATATCCATTACATATCGATATCCAACCACTAAACACAACAATCTTAAACATTCTACAAATCTGTTTACGATTCTGATATTAATCCGATAGTTCTCAACTGGTATAATTTGCCTATCATCAAATCAAATAGGTTTAACAATGTTGGTATATCGACGTACTTTAAATTGGTTTTGTTTGTAACCACAGTGTGACCAAATAACCGAATATCAATGTAACCACATAATCACATAATGGCGTTAAGGGATGCTGATTTGACGCCATCTTGCCTTGTTTACCCTGTCCATCCCTCCAGCTGCTTGGGAAATACCTTCAACCCGGTATATAAACATGGCCAGCGTCAGTCAGGCAAACAGTTTAGAGACATAGGAGACAGAAACACCATGGTAAGTAAAATAACAAACATTTTATAAAATATTTTTGTGCAAATTTTCAATTTTTAATTAGTTGTATTTTATTATTATATAGTCAACAATACAATCAGGAATAACATTTCCCCAAAAACATCTAGTTAGCGAGATATCCACCATTTGATTTTGTGGTTTGAATTTGTAACTTTAAAAAGATTAAATGTATCTTTATGAAATTTAGTACACAATTTTAAAGGGTCATACAAATTTTGAGAAAAAACAATCATTACAAAATAATTTTCGTTTCCATATTGCGTCCATTCTAATATTTGTAACATAAAAATTACAAAAATATCTTATTTTATTAAAAAATTACTAGTTCAATTTTATTTTAGCATTTAAAATTTCATATAAAAAACACCAAGTTCAAACAAATCGAATAAACCGCTGAAAATGACGGTTTACAGTATAGGTACAGTATTACCGGTATACAGATTTTAATAAAATCAGCCATTTGTTAGTTATTTAAGTTATACAATTTAATTAGTTGATAAATATTTTTCATTATTTATTTTCCCTCAAACAATTTTTGACTTTTTTAAAACCTGTATACAAAACTGCACTGTATCTTTAGTAGTTTTTAAGATATAAATTAAAAACAAAACAATGTGGATATCTCGCTAGTGAGGTGTTTAAAAAAAACATGTTATTCTTGATTTTCGTTTAATTTTGACTTGTCAAACCTTTTCCTAAATTGTTTGCATTTACTTACGGAACACTCTGTATATAGATTGAAAATTCATGTTATGTTATAATTCAAACCAAGCCAATTTGCAATAAAACAACAATAAACAGTAATTGATCAATATTTAAATACATTTTAAACTATGTTCTTGATAAGGCATCATTTATTACAACGCAAATTATTTTTAGGTATAAATGTATACAAAATCGTTACTTTTCCTTGAAAATACTCCCCTATTTTTAATGACTCCCATCCCAGTTTGCAAATACAACTTTTACGTTTAGTTTAGACCTAAAACTAAAAAAATATATTTTATTAGTTGACCATCCAAATTATTAATAAGTACAGTTTTTACAATTATTATAGGCCTACTTTTCCCTGAAATACTCCCCCGTTTTTTTAATTGCGACATCTATCTTAGTTTGCAAACCTAACCTTTACGTATACTTCAAACTTTAAAATATAACGCTTTTTCGGTTTAATCTGTTTTCAAACAACCGCCAAACAGATAAATCAACATAACATAACTAAAACTATGGGATTATTTTGTTTATTTAAAAGACCAATAAGTCCACCTACCCGACCTTGTAATGGGTTTAACCCAATCGAGTCTAAAACCTCCAACCTTTCTCTGGCCTTCGACACGACAAACATATTAGTCTGCAAAATACATTACACAACAACTTTTAAACTCAACTTCCTACCTTTAATTGGTTATAATCTCACAAATTCCGATACTAATGGTCTATTTTTGTTGTGGTTTCCATTTCTATATGGATAGACTACACTTTCAAATGAGCACACAATGTTTGGTGTACAGATCGCTTTTAGCTGTACTTTGTGTAGTTTGAAATTATAAAGACACGTTCTCGCTCGATTGTGAGAAAATGAAATTGATAACAGAGTAACCCAAGTTATGCTTTTAGTGAATTTCCCTATAGGGTAGTAGCTATTACAGTAGGTGGCACGGTAAGACCTGGACCCGGGACGGATTTACTTTTCTCATTTTGATGTCCCCAAAGGCAAAAACACTATTCGTTTAAATTTATATATATATATATATATATTATATAGATTAATACATCCGTGAACGCAATAACTCAAGTCATTTTGGTCGGATTTATATGGAATTTGACATGCAGTAGAGGGCGTGGCAAACATGAGTTCGCAAACCAGCGATCGGGTCATGAGAATGGGGTATTTTGGGTTTTGAAATGTAAAAAGAATGTTTTTTTTTTTTTATTTTTAACATTTAAACATGGATATGCGCGATTTTTAATCCAAACATAGTGTAGAGCTTAAAACACATAATTTTGTTATGGAAGCGTAGGCCTATATTGTATAAACTAGGCATTGGAGAAAATTACAAAAACTGTACTTTTAAGATTTAAAAATTTGTACAACGGGACTTAAACAGAAAACGTACACATTAAAACGTTCTACTAGATCAAATTTTGAGTTGACTGTCGGTTTAATATTGAGATTATAGTTTTTAAGTTGGTTTTTAAGTTCTGTTTTCAGCAAGTTAAATAGCTAATTACAGTAGCTGGGGACCAAGTTTTTCTCTGGGGAATTAATTAATAATAGTATATTCTAAAGTAGCCTTTGCTTATCAGTATTGATACGATGTTCTTCACTGATATATTTTATTATCTTTTATAGTAAAGGTGCTGCAAATAATGTATTGAAAATCGCAGTGGTTTAATAAACTACTAGTGGTCGTCCAGTGGTCGAAAACTCGACCAAAAATATGTAACTTACACGCATTGACTATTGGATACTGAAGTAGACATTTAATCTATATGGATCAGCTGTCACCATTTTGAAAATAAAAACAAAACACGTAGTTGTGTGAGCCAATCACAGAATGTGTGTATAAAATTAAATTGTCTACCTTATCTTTTTGTTGCTGACAAAGTAGATGGGTCATAACAGTTGCTTTAGCTAATAATAAGTCATTCCAAAAGTTTGATTTGGTAAAAAGCGTCGGGTATTCGACAAAAAATTATTCATTCAGATCAGAGCACTCTGTTGGTGGCTCACATCAACTACGACGAATTTAATTTAAAAACTGGTGACAACTTTAACATGGGGATGGAATGTGTAGTTGTAAGTCAAAGCATAGATAAAACATGTTTTATCAATGGTCAAAGGTACAGGCTTCTCTATTTTCACCCCACGCTGTAAATTAAACATATGATTGTAACTTTTTACATTTGTTTTGATTTTCTGTTTATATTTCATTGGTATTTCGTCACCAGCATAAGCATAAACATTTGGGCAACCCATAAAGCCCATGTTATTTTTTTTAATTTCAAATAAATCTGTTGTGCTTATATTTGAGCCTATTTGAATTTTAAAAAATGGATTCTGCACATCTACAGGAAAATATCTGTCTAACAGTATGCGTAGATCTTCCCTGCAATACACACGAGCTGAGAAAAAAGGTTTTGAAGAAACATGCTTGCCTATAAATATACTGTATAGATTCGTCGTGAAGCAGATGCTTTCATTAATTTGTTTACGTTGTAATTGTTTGTTTTGACCCACATAACAATCATGGACAAATTTTGACTATAGAAATATTATCATAATTAACATTTATATAATAAATTAATTTGACATGCTATAATAACTTATATTGGAGATGTTAGCAATTAATAATGAAATGTATAGCTAAATTTTAATGTCCAACAAGGCCAATATATAATAATTTATTTTATTCACTTTGGAAACTAGGTTTCCATCATCAGGCTGTGTTTCCAGTTTACACTAGTACAAAAAGTAATATTTACTTCATAATAAATTAATTTTAAATAAAGTTAAAACAGATAATGTAAAGTATATTAAAAAAATATATAAAAAATCATATTAGAAAAAAATCTTTTGAATTTTAGATTTAATACAGTGTTGTTCTTGTAATTATTTTCAGTAATTCCCATAATTGGACCAATAATAATTGGATAGTAATATTATTTTTGGATAACAATAATAATTGGAGTTAATTATAACCAAGCTCATGCAAAATACAGAAGACCTGAAAAATCTGCCCTTGCTAGACACAGTATTAATACAGGACATACAGTATTTTCAATTTGGGAAAACTAAAACTTTTAAAACAAATTATAAAACTTTAACATCTTAATGCTGGGTTGGAATCTTATTTTATAGAAAAAAAAACAGACCAAAATTATTTATTAAATAATGAAGATGCCCCAATTGTTAACCCGGAATTACTGAAAATAATTACATCAAGAACAACACTGTATTATAAGGCCTATCCAAAATGCAAAAGATTACTTTTTCTAATATTATTTTTATATATTTTTCCAATATCCTTTACATCATCTGTTTTAACTTTATTTAAAACTAATTTATTATTAAGTAAAAAAAAAATTAAGTAAATAAATATTTACTTTTTGTACTAGTGTAAACACAACCTGATGATAGAAACCTAGTTTCCAAAAGCGCTTGTGAATAAAACAAATTATTATATATTGGCCTTGTTGAACATTAAAATTTAGCTATCCATTTCATTGACATGCTAGGACATCTTTTAGTTACTTACTTCTGAAGCAGAGGGAATAGCAATCCTTGGAGCCTATATTCATGATATTAGATTTACAGCTTAAGGGAAAGGATAGAATGGTAATTAAAGTACAACATAGGAAATAGTTTGTAGATTACCGGGGAAATGAACGATTGCTAGTATAAAATTAATTGTCTTATTTGGACATAATTTATAGCATATAGTCAAAGATAATAAACCAAGAGCACGCTCCGCAGTCATGTAAACGTAAAGAACTAAGACGATTTTATGAATGCAAATAATTGTTATTAAATTATTGTTACCGTAACTATATTTTAAAAGTTTTCCAAGCTGTTTTAATTTTTTATTCACACAATGTAAAATCAAATTCATTTAAATTTCACCAAATGGGGTACCTAGGTTATAAAAGTTGGGCAATTTGATTTGGACAGGACCCTTAAACTCTGA